TGTGTGTGTGTGTGAGTGTGCGCTTGATCGTTCCTCTCTGTTGGTGCTCTTGTTAATCTGACCGTGGGAGCAGCATCTATATTTCATAAGAAGCTGACGGATTCCCTGACTGAACACATTTACTACCAATCGATCAGACAGCAGCTCTCATGCACACACATAAAACACACACACACACACACACACACACACACACATACACACACACTGTGGAGGTCTTTAAGGCAGAAGGAAAAAGGCAGAGAAAGAGAAAACGTATAGTTTTATACAGAAAAGCTACGCAGCTGATAGAATGGTTCCAAGTCGTTTAAATCGCTGCGAGTCACTGATAAATACCATATAAAAGTTCAACAATATCATCATGTAAGAACAGACAAAATTGATCAAAATCAGTATACTTTTAATCTTGGCTAAATTTTAACATTAAACTTTTAACATTGAGTTGATGAATGAAGTATTATCACCTTATGAACGGAAGATCAACTTGTTAAACAAACTGGTTGCTTATTTACCAATCCGAAGATACAAAGAACATTATCCTCATTTGTATTAGCGGTCTGGCTTCTGGCACCAATTTTACAGGTTCACAAATCGGAAGTACTCCTTCTTTGGTTAAAAATATCAATATACTCACAACATAATATAAGGTTAATATGAATGAACCAACAAACTCTATGTGCAGACCCACAAAACAGTGAGTGCAAGCAAAAGTTTGCCTCGACAAAAAACATTTCTTTGACGGTTTGTACTTGGATAGTCCGGTCCCGCGAAGATCATTCTGCTGCAGTGAAAGATGGGAGTTTCTCAGACACTGCAGAATATCTCTATAGGCACTCCCTCACCTCTCTTGTGTGCTGTGTGTGTATGTGTGGCCATCGTTCGAAGTATCAGACTCACGAAGCACTCTGCAGCGTCCGTCCATCATCGCCCACGCCTGAACAACGTCTGTTCCGTCTTGGAAAGTTTGGCAGAGCGCTCCGCAGTGCATCTTGAATGGCAGCACCGCTCACTGCTGAATGGAACTGAGCAGAAGAGTAACCTGCTGCAAACCACCACACACAGAAATCATAAATTGCTTTATTTCACTGCTCCAAAATATATACTGTGCCAATAACACTGCATTATTTGAGTGGAAACTTAAGTATGACGCTCATGCACGTACGGACTGCATTTACGTCTTATGTGCTGTTCTATTTCAACTGAACTCTGAAACTTGTGTCCTGTAAACCCTCGGCCCATGTTCTATTCAACTGACCCACTAGGAACGAAACAGTGGACTGAGTTTCAACTCGCTGCATGAACCAAAGTTGCTGCACAACAAACCAGAGACCTGGACTAAAACGAACGCCACACGCGAGCGACAGCTGGCTCAGATATAGATATAGCCATATCATAACTAAATGGCTTTGTACTGCCTTTTCTCCGCAAAAACGAGCTCTCAGAGTGCTTTGTAGCAGGTAAATAGACCCCAAACAGAACTGTTGGCAGGGGGCTCAGAAGAAGCTAGCAACTGAGTGTGCTTTTGAGGGCAGTGTCTCAGAGCTGGAGAGGGGATAGTCGCATTGGCGAGGATGGGAGTGGTTTAGTCTGTTTTACCATCATCGGCGCAGGTCGAGGAGACAGCCAGAATTAATGACCCTATATACAGCAGTGGTATGAGAACACAAATTGCGATCGGGGACGACTGCTGGTGTTGTCATACTCATAGCAGGTATGTACACCTTTTTTGATTATTTTATGCCAGAATCAAAGAATTGTTTAAAACAGGCGACATCATGTGTTTGTAATTTTATTACAGGGGGTTTAACATTCCATTCGGAAATGGCCCGAGGTCGGCAGTTGAGTCCCTGCTATGACAATTTTTATAATTACTTTTACCTGCATCGGAGTTGCGCTGATGTCGTGGTCTATTTGTTTCCTCCATTGAGTTAACAGGATAGTCGTCAAAACTACTTGACACATGTTGAGTGGAAACCTGTGGTAAACGGAGAGCGATTTATCCAACTAACTGGTTTTAGTCTGGACTGGGAATTCCCATATGTCATACTCAAAACCACTGTGTCCCTGCCTTTTTTATTCTCGCGTGATGTGGGACCCTACAACAAGCAACTCGTAAACAGGTTTGGAGATGTGTTGCGTAAGCTTTGAGTTTTTGCATCGTAAGAACTCCAGAACAGGATGGAGTGTCTTTGAATAAGAATGTTCAAATTCTGGAAAAGACAAGCAAACCAAGGAAAGATTACCATAATGAGGGGTATCCATGTGGATTTGGGGGTTACGAGGACACCAACAGATCGATACCTTTCTGTCAATCTCACTACCTCTCACACCACATCCTCTCTCAATAATGAAATATAAGAATTGAAGATATAGATGACAGAAAAGAGTGAAATATTGATAATATTATATAATAAATATGAATTATATTATATAGCATAATATGATGAGACCTTCGATATATGATTTGTGATAATGATAAAAGAAGATATATAATAGACCCACAGAGATATGAATAATGTATGAGATATAGGATATAATAATATATATAATAAGGAAAAATGATATACATAAAATATAAGATCATATAATAAGACTAGACAATATAAACAAATTACATAATAACACACAAAGAAGAAACAAATCATAAAAATAATATATGTGTTGCCTCGAATTACTCGTAAATACTAGATATTATATATAGATATAATCTATAGAAAAATATATATAATGATATAATGATAAAATAAATCACAATAAATTAGAAATGAAGGAATAATCATATTGTATAATAGAGTAAATATAAATGTAGATAAATAAATATATATAGAATAATATAATAGAAAGTAATATAATATATATATAGCAGATAATAATGTATATAAATATGATATAATGATCAATATATTAATAGGTAGGATTGAAATATGGTAAGAGAGAGATATAGATATATTAGAAAAATAATATATATAAAAGATAAACATATAAGAGAACAATAATATCAAAAAAAAAAACAAAAAAAAAAAAAAACACAAAAAAAAAAAAAACAGAGCCGGACCCCGAGCGGAGAGGACGGAGGACAAAGAGAGAGATTCGGCGCGTACTCTCGGCTAAGAGCAATCCGACATAACTAACGATACCACTGCCTCGATCATCGAAACGAACACCTTACAGGGCAACACTATAGGCCCATGTAATGTGGTTCATCTCCTAGCTACACAAATGTTTTGAAATCGCTCGCGGTGAAGCGCCTGTACCGTTTGGTGAAGAGCAGATCTAAATACCTTGTGCAGGAAATATTACGCGGTTTGCTAAAGGATGAACTTTTGCCTAATTTATGTGAGGTTCTGCTATTCGTTTGGAGTCAAATAAGGCACGCTACGGAAGAATGTGCAATATACATAGATCAGAAGACTAAAATATCAAATGCAATATCAATGTACATTAATCAGTTCAGGTCAACACCATACGTTTCTATGCTTGTAACAATCCATATTATGGTGATGACACTGCCTGAATTTGTTGACATTTGTCATCTGGAACAATTATTGTAATATGGGAACATGTGTGCCTTTACTTATAACTTCATGATTAGGAATACATCCAGGACTTCAAGGACAGTGATTTGCAAGCTGGTGGGCAAAGACTGTACAGTGGATCAAAGATAAATTGAAGGGTCACAAGATGCTTAAAAAGAAAGAAAAGTAAAACAAAGTTCAGCTCTTTCTGTATTCATATCTAATCCTAAATAATAATATACAAAATGTGATTTAATTATAGGCTTGACAGGAACCGGAGTCAGAATGGTTGGCGTGTCTTAACCCAACAGCACATGGATGACCCTCATTATCAGTACAATCTTTCTTGGTTTGCTTTGTCTTTTCAGAATTTGAACATTTCATTCCCAATGACCCATCTGTTCAGTGAAGTTATGGTGAGGTGAACAACGCTCAACGATCTACAAACCCTTCTCAAGCACCTGTTTACCACCTTCGCCGTTGTCATGTAGGGGGGATCGAAAGCAACCACTAAAACAACCGCGAAGGTGCGTCACAGGCTGGCTTTCTTGCGGGAGGCCACTGATGGGATGCCTGGGGCGCCTCGGCCAGCCTCAATACACAGCTTACCGTCGCTGGAAAAAAATAACGAATACTATATGATAGCGAGAATATAATATATAATCCGTGATAAAGAATACTACTAACATATGAGCCATATAACATAAGTTAACATAAATAGGCGAGAACAACAGGAAAACATACTAATCCATAGGAGATGACCAAAAACATACATAAACAAAACATACTTCAATAGCAGGAAAGACCCAAATCAAAGCATGCAGATAGGACGAGATAATATAATATAGATTTAAGATAATATTATATACAAATAGTAAACGAGAGAGTCACATAGATATATATATATATATAGTCTATTTGCATACAAGAATACGATAACAAAGGAGGTAGAATAAAC